AACCCAGCAGTGCTGGTGGAGACGAGCGTCAGGCCGTGGACACTCGTGTGTGTTACAGTAACCCAGCAGTGCTGGTGGAGACGAGCGTCAGGCCGTGGACACTCGTGTGTGTTACAGTAACCCAGCAGTGCTGGTGAAGACGAGCATCAGGCCGTGGACACTCGTGTGTGTTACAGTAACCCAGCAGTGCTGGTGAAGACGAGCGTCAGGCCGTGGACACTCGTGTGTGTTACAGTAACCCAGCAGTGCTGGTGAAGACGAGCGTCAGGCCGTGGACACTCGTGTGTGTTACAGTAACCCAGCAGTGCTGGTGGAGACGAGCGTCAGGCCGTGGACACTCGTGTGTGTTACAGTAACCCAGCAGTGCTGGTGAAGACGAGCGTCAGGCCGTGGACACTCGTGTGTGTTACAGTAACCCAGCAGTGCTGGTGAAGACGAGCGTCAGGCCGTGGACACTCGTGTGTGTTACAGTAACCCAGCAGTGCTGGTGGAGACAAGCGTCAGGCCGTGGACACTCGTGTGTGTTACAGTAACCCAGCAGTGCTGGTGAAGACGAGCGTCAGGCCGTGGACACTCATGTGTGTTACAGTAACCCAGCAGTGCTGGTGGAGACGAGCGTCAGGCCGTGGACACTCGTGTGTGTTACAGTAACCCAGCAGTGCTGGTGGAGACGAGCGTCAGGCCGTGGACACTCGTGTGTGTTACAGTAACCCAGCAGTGCTGGTGGAGACGAGCGTCAGGCCGTGGACACTCGTGTGTGTTACAGTAACCCAGCAGTGCTGGTGAAGACGAGCGTCAGGCCGTGGACACTCGTGTGTGTTACAGTAACCCAGCAGTGCTGTTGGAGACGAGCGTCAGGCCGTGGACACTCGTGTGTGTTACAGTAACCCAGCAGTGCTGGTGGAGACGAGCGTCAGACCGTGGACACTCGTGTGTGTTACAGTAACCCAGCAGTGCTGGTGAAGACGAGCGTCAGGCCGTGGACACTCGTGTGTGTTACAGTAACCCAGCAGTGCTGGTGGAGACGAGCGTCAGGCCGTGGACACTCGTGTGTGTTACAGTAACCCAGCAGTGCTGGTGAAGACGAGCGTCAGGCCGTGGACACTCGTGTGTGTTACAGTAACCCAGCAGTGCTGGTGGAGAAGAGCGTCAGGCCGTGGACACTCGTGTGTGTTACAGTAACCCAGCAGTGCTGGTGAAGACGAGCATCAGGCCGTGGACACTCTTGTGTGTTACAGTAACCCAGCAGTGCTGGTGGAGACGAGCGTCAGGCCGTGGACACTCGTGTGTGTTACAGTAACCAAGCAGTGCTGGTGAAGACGAGCGTCAGGCCGTGGACACTCGTGTGTGTTACAGTAACCCAGCAGTGCTGGTGAAGACGAGCGTCAGGCCGTGGACACTCGTGTGTGTTACAGTAACCCAGCAGTGCTGGTGGAGACGAGCGTCAGGCCGTGGACACTCGTGTGTGTTACAGTAACCCAGCAGTGCTGGTGAAGACGAGCGTCAGGCCGTGGACACTCGTGTGTGTTACAGTAACCCAGCAGTGCTGGTGAAGACGAGCGTCAGGCCGTGGACACTCGTGTGTGTTACAGTAACCCAGCAGTGCTGGTGGAGACGAGCGTCAGGCCGTGGACACTCGTGTGTGTTACAGTAACCCAGCAGTGCTGGTGAAGACGAGCGTCAGGCCGTGGACACTCGTGTGTGTTACAGTAACCCAGCAGTGCTGGTGGAGATGAGCGTCAGGCCGAGGACACTCGTGTGTGTTACAGTAACCCAGCAGTGCTGGTGGAGACGAGCGTCAGGCCGTGGACACTCGTGTGTGTTACAGTAACCCAGCAGTGCTGGTGGAGATGAGCGTCAGGCCGAGGACACTCGTGTGTGTTACAGTAACCCAGCAGTGCTGGTGGAGACGAGCGTCAGGCCGAGGACACTCGTGTGTGTTACAGTAACCCAGCAGTGCTGGTGGAGACGAGCGTCAGGCCGTGGACACTCGTGTGTGTTACAGTAACCCAGCAGTGCTGGTGAAGACGAGCGTCAGGCCGTGGACACTCGTGTGTGTTACAGTAACCCAGCAGTGCTGGTGAAGACGAGCGTCAGGCCGTGGACACTCGTGTGTGTTACAGTAACCCAGCAGTGCTGGTGGAGACGAGCGTCAGGCCGTGGACACTCGTGTGTGTTACAGTAACCCAGCAGTGCTGGTGGAGACGAGCGTCAGGCCGTGGACACTCGTGTGTGTTACAGTAACCCAGCAGTGCTGGTGAAGACGAGCGTCAGGCCGTGGACACTCGTGTGTGTTACAGTAACCCAGCAGTGCTGGTGGAGACGAGCGTCAGGCCGTGGACACTCGTGTGTGTTACAGTAACCCAGCAGTGCTGGTGAAGACGAGCGTCAGGCCGTGGACACTCGTGTGTGTTACAGTAACCCAGCAGTGCTGGTGAAGACGAGCGTCAGGCCGTGGACACTCGTGTGTGTTACAGTAACCCAGCAGTGCTGGTGGAGACGAGCGTCAGGCCGTGGACACTCGTGTGTGTTACAGTAACCCAGCAGTGCTGGTGAAGACGAGCGTCAGGCCGTGGACACTCGTGTGTGTTACAGTAACCCAGCAGTGCTGGTGGAGATGAGCGTCAGGCCGAGGACACTCGTGTGTGTTACAGTAACCCAGCAGTGCTGGTGGAGACGAGCGTCAGGCCGTGGACACTCGTGTGTGTTACAGTAACCCAGCAGTGCTGGTGGAGATGAGCGTCAGGCCGAGGACACTCGTGTGTGTTACAGTAACCCAGCAGTGCTGGTGGAGACGAGCGTCAGGCCGTGGACACTCGTGTGTGTTACAGTAACCCAGCAGTGCTGGTGAAGACGAGCGTCAGGCCGTGGACACTCGTGTGTGTTACAGTAACCCAGCAGTGCTGGTGAAGACGAGCGTCAGGCCGTGGACACTCGTGTGTGTTACAGTAACCCAGCAGTGCTGGTGGAGACGAGCGTCAGGCCGTGGACACTCGTGTGTGTTACAGTAACCCAGCAGTGCTGGTGGAGACGAGCGTCAGGCCGTGGACACTCGTGTGTGTTACAGTAACCCAGCAGTGCTGGTGAAGACGAGCATCAGGCCGTGGACACTCGTGTGTGTTACAGTAACCCAGCAGTGCTGGTGGAGACGAGCGTCAGGCCGTGGACACTCGTGTGTGTTACAGTAACCCAGCAGTGCTGGTGAAGACGAGCGTCAGGCCGTGGACACTCGTGTGTGTTACAGTAACCCAGCAGTGCTGGTGGAGACGAGCGTCAGGCCGTGGACACTCGTGTGTGTTACAGTAACCCAGCAGTGCTGGTGGAGACGAGCGTCAGGCCGTGGACACTCATGTGTGTTACAGTAACCCAGCAGTGCTGGTGGAGACGAGCGTCAGGCCGTGGACACTCGTGTGTGTTACAGTAACCCAGCAGTGCTGGTGGAGACGAGCGTCAGGCCGTGGACACTCGTGTGTGTTACAGTAACCCAGCAGTGCTGGTGAAGACGAGCGTCAGGCCGTGGACACTCGTGTGTGTTACAGTAACCCAGCAGTGCTGGTGGAGACGAGCGTCAGGCCGTGGACACTCGTGTGTGTTACAGTAACCCAGCAGGGCTGGTGAAGACGAGCGTCAGGCCGTGGACACTCGTGTGTGTTACAGTAACCCAGCAGTGCTGGTGAAGACGAGCGTCAGGCCGTGGACACTCGTGTGTGTTACAGTAACCCAGCAGTGCTGGTGGAGACGAGCGTCAGGCCGTGGACACTCGTGTGTGTTACAGTAACCCAGCAGTGCTGGTGAAGACGAGCGTCAGGCCGTGGACACTCGTGTGTGTTACAGTAACCCAGCAGTGCTGGTGAAGACGAGCGTTAGGAAAGTCTAAGACGAGGAAACGCCTGTTTACAGTACTCAAGATAAATGTTCACCTCGGCCTGGGATTTCCTGCCATCCTGTTTTTCTCCTACACAAACTCAAACCAGTAAACAAGTGAAGATTCAGCAGGTTTAGGCAGTCTTATGAAATGTTTTCTTTTGTCAGATGTTTTTGTCAATATGTCTATTTGAAAACTGTACAATTATTTTTCAGTCATGGAAAAAAATGGGTTGTTTTGTCCACTCTTTTCCATTCAAAAAGTGCAAACATTCTTCAACATATTCTTTTGTGTATAGCAGAAGAAAGAAACTCATACTCATTTCATTTTTGGGTGAACTATCCCTTTACACCAAACATACTTTATCACTAGAAAACAACTCAAATAACCTGTTAAACATGAAAGTATTATGCATTTCTCCTTATATAGCACCTTTCTGGCATTTGGGTTCTTCAAAACTGTGTGAAGAACCCTAGAACCCACAGAACTTTATTTCTAAGAATATATCTCTTTATAAAACGGTTAGTTGCCATCCTTGATTCTGATTGGTAAATCGCTGCGTTTTATTCACGATAAAACACGGCTATGACCGCTTCACCCAACGGTCCTATGTATCACTACACAACACCCCTAGCTACCACTCTTAGCAACGTAAACATATGTTCTCATTGATATTGTTCATTGAAGTATTGTGAGAGATCGAGTAGCGAGTGTACCTGCATTTACAGTAGATATAGCATTTTCCTTCAGGTCACTCCTATATTCATAATCATAAATCCGTTTGAATGATATCTTGTCCTTTTAAGTTTTAACAGTTCAGGTTTTTTTCCCCGTGCCATGACACCCTAATCATGTGTCCGTTACTTCTCCGTGTTCACAACAAGTTCAGTCCTTTCAATATAAAAGTCTTCTCTACTGACTGACTCACTGATAAAAGCCCTATTCAGACAGGATTACCTTTACAAGAGTAGATTGAATAATGTAATTTTATCACAATTTACGCACCGCTGTCACTCCTGTCGTCATGTGTGTTTTACGCTGCTTCCTGATATCATGTTCGCAAACACATATAACCTATATATTTATAAAACAGTTAGGTCCGGTCAACGATGTATTAATTACCTTCTGATTGGATTGTGTTGGTAGGCACTTACCTAACGGTAAAAGATGTTTCGTGCCTCTAACAAGTGCTTTCGATCTTCTTTCTGATCTGAATGATGTGTGGAAAACACTCGAGTTTTGCCACAGATTTGTCCCATCGCCTAAATCGCAACTAAATGCTTTTTCAAGCGTCTCCATACTTGGAAAAACCGCGGAAAACTACTTTTTAACAGGAAATGACGGAATATTTACGTACATATTTACAGCGGGTCTAATCGCACAGGATTAGTATTACCTGAGGTGATTTTTCCGGACCTTTTTACAGAAGGTAAAAGTCCCCGTAATCTTTACTGACATTGTCCGGGTAATGATTACTGAGATGCACATTCAGACGGGACTAAAATCACCGAGAAACTCTGATAATAACTTTAACCCTTCTCTCCATGTTACACTAATCCAGTCCGGGTTTAAAACATTCTTTGTCGCCATCTAACTGCAAAATAATGTAATTTCTGTTACTGTTCACGGCCAGGGACTATTTTTTTCCAGCGGAAGGAAGGCTTTTAGTGATTTTACTTCATGAAAGTTGCATTGATACATATTTTTTTGGCTTTAATATTTGTCTTGTGTGGTAACCGTTGTATAAAAGCAATAAGGTGCTCAAGGCTAGTACCTATCTGCGTATGTCACTTTGAATTATCCATGCTTTTGTAAATGTTAAAAGTACTAAGATCAACTATATCAGTGTATAAAATGTCTCTGCCATATTTCTTCTCTCTGTTTGTGTAGATGATGTGTTCTCAGACATCCCCGATCCAGCATGGATGGCCCGTCTCTCTCTCCCTCTGACGGCCGACTACCATGAGAACCTGTTTGTCCCTGACGGGCCCCCGTCCCCTGACGCCCGGGGCCCCGAGGCCCGTCCCGATGACCCCAGCTCGTTCTCCACCTTCGGGAAGAGCCCGGGGAAGAGCGTGCTGGAGGGCCGGGCGCTGATGTCCGAGGTGAGCTCTCTGTTCGAGATGCTCCTGACCCAGAAGGCCGAAGCCCAGTCGTGTCCTCGGGCTGATGTGCTCTACAGGCTCTCGGCCGCGTACAGGCGCTCGCTCGGCCTAGACACGCCACACACACACACTCCCCCATAATGCAGTGTGCCAACCCTATGCCATAACAACAGCAAAAAACATTTCTGATTTCTGGTGCCATGTCATTTTGGGGATCCATGCAACCCAGACAGCAACATAGTGTCGGCCCAGATCCGGCCCACATCTGGATTACACCATAGACTGTAAAAAAAGATGGGCTTCACTTTTCTACCATTGGTGAAAGCCACCTAAGTCCTATAATGGCGCAGATTTGGGAGCTGATTCTGCGCAGTAGTGAACGTGAAGTGTAGACGCGGTATCACACACACACACAGTAGTCAGCGTGAAGTGGAGTCGCGATATCAACAAGGTCCCTCCGATTTTAAAAAAATAAAAAGATTTTTTTTATTACACTCTAAAAAATGCTGGGTTGTTTCAACCCAACTTTGGGTCAAATATGGTCAAACCCAGCCGTTGGGTTAAATTTTTAAATCACATTTTTAACCCAACGTTTGGGTTCGTCAATATTTGACCCATTTTTTTTTAGTTTACTGCAGAGCAACTCATTATGTCAGTGTGAAGTACAGTGCTCAAGTGCACACACACACATGCTAAAGCTGACTGAAAAGAGGAATAAAAAATCATCTTTTGGATCGAAACCTAAAAACTTAAAAAAACTTAATTAAAAAAATGAGGAAAACTCCAAACTTCACTCTAAAAAATGCTGGGTTGTTTCAACCCAAATTTGGGTCAAATATGGACAAAACAAAATGTTGGGTTAAAAATTGAATTTAAAATTTTAACCCAACTTCAACTCTCACTTTCAACTGTATTTTTTTTAATTACATTTTTAACCCAAAATTTTTTAGAGTGTAAGGACACCAGTTTTCTTTCTGAATGAATAATGTATCGTAAATAGCCTAAATAACTGTTTTTGCTTTAACTACAGGGGTCATAAGTCAGGACACCCCTGTGTTAAACTCCCATAGAGGGGCAGATTTATATTTTAAAGGCCAGTTATTTCATGATCCAGGACACTATGCATAATTAAAATAATTAAAATAGCCGCACATCCTCACACATCCTTCACCACACCTAGAGTCGGCATGGTTTATTTCGGTTAGCCTAATAGCTGGTTTGATTAGCATTGAGAGATGATCTTCCCCATGCCGATCTCTAGGTGTCTTTTCTGCAGTCTGGGAAGCCTCGAGAACACTAGCTGAGCTCTAAAACCCTAATAATGTCTTCCTTTTTCAACCAGGTCTGTCTGGAACAGGCCATGACAAGAACTTTTTATCTTTATAAGAATAAAACCCTTCTTGCATGACAGTATAGTTGTTTTACGTGTCCCTGAGGTGAAGCGCTAATATTCCCTTTCTCTGAGAACACACACACTAAACCTGCAGGTCTGATCAACTCACACTTTCTTATGTCACTTCTCTGATGTGAATATTAACTTGTAAGAGCGTTCGTAAGGTATGTGGCTACACCCTGCAACTATTCCTGACCAATGTACCTGCATTATATCGATATCTATATTTAGCTGTTTTCCATCTCTTCGTTTTTGTTTCTCACTTTTCTGTATGCGTGTCATTGATTTCTGACCCTGTGTAAGCTGCTGTTTGGTTAATTTGCAATAAAATAAAATAAAAAATAAAAATAATAATAATAGTCTTAGTAAGATGACATTTAAATGCATAGTTTTATGATCTGTAGTTTTAAAATATAATGCAATATACAACGATGATTGAGAGATAAACCTTAATCAAAACCTGATGATCATATTTGACACTTCTAAAAAAAAATTAAAAAGATGAATAATCAAACCTGTCGCTTCAGTAAGTGTTCATCTTGAAAAATTACTAACAATATCAAAGTTACTCTTAGATTCACTTGAAAGTGATGGAGTGATCAGAGGAGTGATCATAGAGGAGTGATCAGAGGAGTGATCATAGAGGAGTGATCATAGAGGAGTGATCATAGAGGAGTGATCATAGAGGAGTGATCATAGAGGAGTGATCATAGAGGAGTGATCATAGAGGAGTGATCATAGAGGAGTGATCATAGAGGAGTGATCATAGATGAGTGATCATAGAGGAGTGATCATAGAGGAGTGATCAGAGGAGTGATCATAGAGGAGTGATCATAGAGGAGTGATCATAGAGGAGTGATCAGAGGAGTGATCATAGAGGAGTGATCATAGAGGAGTGATCATAGAGGAGTGATCATAGAGGAGTGATCATAGAGGAGTGATCATAGAGGAGTGATCATAGAGGAGTGATCATAGAGGAGTGATCATAGAGGAGTGATCATAGAGGAGTGATCATAGAGGAGTGATCATAGAGGAGTGATCATAGATGAGTGATCATAGATGAGTGATCATAGAGGAGTGATCAGAGGAGTGATCATAGAGGAGTGATCATAGAGGAGTGATCATAGAGGAGTGATCATAGATGAGTGATCATAGATGAGTGATCATAGAGGAGTGATCAAAGAGGAGTGATCATAGAGGAGTGATCAGAGGAGTGATCAGAGGAGTGATCATAGAGGAGTGATCATAGAGGAGTGATCAGAGGAGTGATCATAGAGGAGTGATCATAGAGGAGTGATCATAGATGAGTGATCATAGAGGAGTGATCATAGAGGAGTGATCATAGAGGAGTGATCAGAGGAGTGATCATAGATGAGTGATCATAGAGGAGTGATCAGAGGAGTGATCATAGAGGAGTGATCATAGAGGAGTGATCAGAGGAGTGATCATAGATGAGTGATCATAGATGAGTGATCAGAGGAGTGATCATAGATGAGTGATCATAGAGGAGTGATCATAGAGGAGTGATCAGAGGAGTGATCATAGATGAGTGATCATAGAGGAGTGATCAGAGGAGTGATCATAGATGAGTGATCATAGATGAGTGATCAGAGGAGTGATCATAGATGAGTGATCATAGAGGAGTGATCATAGAGGAGTGATCAGAGGAGTGATCATAGATGAGTGATCATAGAGGAGTGATCAGAGGAGTGATCATAGAGGAGTGATCAGAGGAGTGATCATAGATGAGTGATCATAGAGGAGTGATCAGAGGAGTGATCATAGAGGAGTGATCATAGAGGAGTGATCAGAGGAGTGATCATAGATGAGTGATCATAGATGAGTGATCATAGAGGAGTGATCATAGATGAGTGATCATAGAGGAGTGATCAGAGGAGTGATCATAGATGAGTGATCATAGAGGAGTGATCATAGATGAGTGATCAGAGGAGTGATCATAGATGAGTGATCATAGAGGAGTGATCAGAGGAGTGATCATAGAGGAGTGATCATAGAGGAGTGATCATAGAGGAGTGATCATAGATATAATCACTCATCATAGATATAATCACTCATCTTTCATAGAGGAGTGATCATAGATGAGTGATCATAGAGGAGTGATCATAAATGAGTGATCATAGAGGAGTGATCATAGATGAGTGATCATAGAGGAGTGATCATAGATGAGTGATCATAGATGAGTGATCATAGAGGAGTGATGATAGATGAGTGATCATAGATGAGTGATCATAGATGAGTGATCATAGAGGAGTGATCATAGATGAGTGATGATAGATGAGTGATCATAGATGAGTGATCATAGATGAGTGATCATAGAGGAGTGATCATAGAGGAGTGATCATAGAGGAGTGATCATAGAGGAGTGATCATAGATGAGTGATCATAGATGAGTGATCATAGATGAGTGATCATAGAGGAGTGATCATAGAGGAGTGATCATAGAGGAGTGATGATAGATGAGTGATCATAGAGGAGTGATCATAGAGGAGTGATCATAGAGGAGTGATCATAAATGAGTGATCATAGAGGAGTGATCATAGATGAGTGATCATAGAGGAGTGATCATAGATGAGTGATCATAGATGAGTGATCATAGAGGAGTGATGATAGATGAGTGATCATAGATGAGTGATCATAGAGGAGTGATCATAGAGGAGTGATCATAGAGGAGTGATCATAGAGGAGTGATCATAGATGAGTGATCATAGATGAGTGATCATAGATGAGTGATCATAGAGGAGTGATGATAGATGAGTGATCATAGATGAGTGATCATAGAGGAGTGATCATAGAGGAGTGATCATAAATGAGTGATCATAGAGGAGTGATCATAGATGAGTGATCATAGATGAGTGATCATAGATGAGTGATCATAGATGAGTGATCATAGAGGAGTGATCATAGAGGAGTGATCATAGAGGAGTGATCATAGATGAGTGATCATAGATGAGTGATCATAGATGAGTGATCATAGATGAGTGATCATAGAGGAGTGATCATAGAGGAGTGATCATAGAGGAGTGATCATAGATGAGTGATCATAGATGAGTGATCATAGAGGAGTGATCATAGAGGAGTGATCATAGAGGAGTGATGATAGATGAGTGATCATAGAGGAGTGATCATAGAGGAGTGATCATAGAGGAGTGATCATAAATGAGTGATCATAGAGGAGTGATCATAGATGAGTGATCATAGAGGAGTGATCATAGATGAGTGATCATAGATGAGTGATCATAGAGGAGTGATGATAGATGAGTGATCATAGATGAGTGATCATAGAGGAGTGATCATAGAGGAGTGATCATAGAGGAGTGATCATAGAGGAGTGATCATAGATGAGTGATCATAGATGAGTGATCATAGAGGAGTGATGATAGATGAGTGATCATAGATGAGTGATCATAGAGGAGTGATCATAGAGGAGTGATCATAGAGGAGTGATCATAGAGGAGTGATCATAGATGAGTGATCATAGATGAGTGATCATAGATGAGTGATCATAGAGGAGTGATGATAGATGAGTGATCATAGATGAGTGATCATAGAGGAGTGATCATAGAGGAGTGATCATAAATGAGTGATCATAGAGGAGTGATCATAGATGAGTGATCATAGATGAGTGATCATAGATGAGTGATCATAGATGAGTGATCATAGAGGAGTGATCATAGAGGAGTGATCATAGAGGAGTGATCATAGATGAGTGATCATAGATGAGTGATCATAGATGAGTGATCATAGATGAGTGATCATAGAGGAGTGATCATAGAGGAGTGATCATAGAGGAGTGATCATAGATGAGTGATCATAGATGAGTGATCATAGAGGAGTGATCATAGAGGAGTGATCATAGAGGAGTGATGATAGATGAGTGATCATAGAGGAGTGATCATAGAGGAGTGATCATAGAGGAGTGATCATAAATGAGTGATCATAGAGGAGTGATCATAGATGAGTGATCATAGAGGAGTGATCATAGATGAGTGATCATAGATGAGTGATCATAGAGGAGTGATGATAGATGAGTGATCATAGATGAGTGATCATAGAGGAGTGATCATAGAGGAGTGATCATAGAGGAGTGATCATAGAGGAGTGATCATAGATGAGTGATCATAGATGAGTGATCATAGATGAGTGATCATAGAGGAGTGATGATAGATGAGTGATCATAGATGAGTGATCATAGAGGAGTGATCATAGAGGAGTGATCATAGAGGAGTGATCATAGAGGAGTGATCATAGATGAGTGATCATAGATGAGTGATCATAGATGAGTGATCATAGAGGAGTGATCATAGAGGAGTGATCATAGAGGAGTGATCATAGAGGAGTGATGATAGAGGAGTGATCATAGATGAGTGATCATAGATGAGTGATCATAGATGAGTGATCATAGAGGAGTGATCATAGAGGAGTGATCATAGAGGAGTGATCATAGATGAGTGATCATAGATGAGTGATCATAGAGGAGTGATCATAGAGGAGTGATCATAGAGGAGTGATCATAGAGGAGTGATGATAGATGAGTGATCATAGATGAGTGATCATAGATGAGTGATCATAGATGAGTGATCATAGAGGAGTGATCATAGATGAGTGATCATAGAGGAGTGATCATAGAGGAGTGATCATAGATGAGTGATCATAGATGAGTGATCATAGATGAGTGATCATAGAGGAGTGATCATAGAGGAGTGATCATAGAGGAGTGATCATAGAGGAGTGATGATAGATGAGTGATCATAGATGAGTGATCATAGATGAGTGATCATAGATGAGTGATCATAGAGGAGTGATCATAGATGAGTGATCATAGAGGAGTGATCATAGAGGAGTGATCATAGATGAGTGATCATAGATGAGTGATCATAGATGAGTGATCATAGAGGAGTGATCATAGAGGAGTGATCATAGAGGAGTGATCATAGAGGAGTGATCATAGAGGAGTGATCATAGATGAGTGATCATAGATGAGTGATCATAGAGGAGTGATCATAGAGGAGTGATCAGAGGAGTGATCATAGAGGAGTGATCAGAGGAGTGATCATAGATGAGTGATCATAGAGGAGTGATCAGAGGAGTGATCATAGAGGAGTGATCATAGAGGAGTGATCAGAGGAGTGATCATAGATGAGTGATCATAGATGAGTGATCATAGAGGAGTGATCATAGATGAGTGATCATAGAGGAGTGATCAGAGGAGTGATCATAGATGAGTGATCATAGAGGAGTGATCATAGATGAGTGATCAGAGGAGTGATCATAGATGAGTGATCATAGAGGAGTGATCAGAGGAGTGATCATAGAGGAGTGATCATAGAGGAGTGATCATAGATATAATCACTCATCATAGATATAATCACTCATCTTTCATAGAGGAGTGATCATAGATGAGTGATCATAGAGGAGTGATCATAAATGAGTGATCATAGAGGAGTGATCATAGATGAGTGATCATAGAGGAGTGATCATAGATGAATGATCATAGATGAGTGATCATAGAGGAGTGATGATAGATGAGTGATCATAGATGAGTGATCATAGATGAGTGATCATAGATGAGTGATCATAGAGGAGTGATCATAGATGAGTGATCATAGATGAGTGATCATAGAGGAGTGATCATAGATTAGTGATCATAGAGGAGTGATCATAGATGAGTGATCATAGAGGAGTGATCATAGAGGAGTGATCATAAATGAGTGATCATAAATGAGTGATCATAGAGGAGTGATCATAGAGGAGTGATGATAGATGAGTGACCATAGAGGAGTGATCATAGATGAGTGATCATAGATGAGTGATCATAGAGGAGTGATCATAGATGAGTGACCATAGAGGAGTGATCATAGATGAGTGATCATAGATGAGTGATCATAGAGGAGTGATCATAGAGGAGTGATCATAGAGGAGTGATCATAGATGAGTGACCATAGAGGAGTGATCATAGATAGATGAGTGATCATAGATGAGTGATCATAGATGAGTGATCATAGAGGAGTGATCATAGAGGAGTGACCATAGAGGAGTGATCATAGATGAGTGATCATAGATGAGTGATCATAGAGGAGTGATCATAGATGAGTGACCATAGAGGAGTGATCATAGATGAGTGATCATAGATGAGTGATCATAGAGGAGTGATCATAGAGGAGTGATCATAGATGAGTGACCATAGAGGAGTGATCATAGATAGATGAGTGATCATAGAGGAGTGATCATAGATGAGTGATCATAGATGAGTGATCATAGATGAGTATTCATAGATGAGTGATCATAGATGAGTGATCAAAGAGGAGTGATCATAGATGAGTGATCATAGATAGATGAGTGATCATAGATGAGTGATCATAGATGAGTGATCATAAATGAGTGATCAAAGAGGAGTGATCATAGATGAGTGATCATAGAGGAGTGATCATAGAGGAGTGATCATAGAGGAGTGATCATAGATGAGTGATCATAGAGGAGTGATCATAGAGGAGTGATCATAGATGAGTGATCATAGAGGAGTTATCATAGAGTGATCATAGAGGAGTGATCATAGAGGAGTGATCATAGATGAGTGATCATAGAGGAGTGATCATAGAGGAGTGATCATAGAGGAGTGATCATAGATGAGTGATCATAGAGGAGTGATCATAGATGAGTGATCATAGAGGAGTGATCATAGAGGAGTGATCATAGAGTGATCATAGAGGAGTGTTTTATTACCTATTAAATATACACATTCAAATATATTGCTCCTTTAATGCGTTCGTCTCCAGCAGAAGACACTCACTCTTAAGACACTGGGTTAACCCAGGTGTGCAGGCGGGGCATGTTGTCACACTGTTACGATTATGAATTCGATTGAAAAACCAGGAGAAAAAGGTGAATAAAGAGACAAAGTTTAGAAATTATTATTTTTGAACTATGCTGTATCTGTTTTGCGACATGTTTGTTGTCAAACTCAAAAAACTATATTTAATACATTTTAAAAAAGCCATTATTTTATATTAAAAAGTTATTGTATTTTATTGACAAAATATTTTAGTTTGTCGTGTAAACGCATTTTTTTTATTAGATCAGATAATATTTTAATCTGTTATATGGTCATGTTATAATGAACCTCACCTATGGGGCATGTTGTCACACTCACTTCCATACTTTCAGGGTAAATCAAGAAAATAGTATAGACTGTATTAATGAAACAAAACCACATAACTCTACTAGACATGTGGGAAAAATTAATTCACTGATCCCCAAGTGGATTTACACAAACTGAGAATTGTCAACACATTATACTCTGGAGTTGGCAGAATGAATTAGATTAGACGGATATATTCTGGTTGGGCAATATCCTGATGTTTCAGTTGTTAGGATGGTCAGATGGTCTGTAATCGTCTACAGGTGAAACTCGAAAAATTTGAATATCGTACAAGTGTTATAATTCCAATGTTTATGGTGTAGTTTATGAAAACCCCAAATTCAAAATCTCAGAAAATTTGAATATTAAAAAAAAAAAAAAAAAAAAAAAAAAAAAAGGATTTTAAATACAGAAATGTCAGCCCTCTGAAAAGTATAATCATGCATATGTATATATTTATATATACTAAATATATGAGTTTCACCATCGAACTGTTGCACGATATTCCAGTTTTTGAGTTTCAGCTGTAAGTCAGCGTCCTCTACAAACACATGCGATTATTATAGATAAACCCCTGCTAATCATCATGAAGATCTTCATTTGCTCTTTCAAACTCTCCGTTAGATTCAGTTCTTGCAACGACCTTCAATGGACATGAAAATCACACTAGAACAACAAATAAAAACCACTTAAACTTTATTGGAATCTATGTCACAGTTGTTGTTATTGTCCACAAAAGGATAAAAAAAGAAGAAAACTCATGGGACACTAACACTTTACCAGCCTACAACCAAAGCTTAAAGACGGACAGGAGAGAGAGAGGCTGAGCAGTGGCGAGAGAAGAGACGTGTGTGCTGGAGACGGGGCTCATGATGATCACATGACAGTGGGTGTAGATCAGCACACACACACACACACACAGCGGATTAGCAGAGGGAGCCCGAGCGCATGCGTTCACGTCCTCATCTTCATCACAGGCTGTAGAACTTGAGACTTCTGTCCATGCCGGTGGAGGCCAGGAACTGAGCGTGTTCTCCGAACGCCACGCCGGTCACCAGGCCAGAGTGATCTACAACACACACACACACACATCAGCAAATCAGCTCACACACTCCTGCTACAACCTCACACACCTCAACCCTCTGGTGCTCCAAGATGCCCGAGATTTACCATTTTATTTCAATGACATTAATGCACTATATCATAGCTTGATAATTTTTTTTTATCTAATATTTTGTTTTTAGGGGATTTTACGGTTCTACATTATCTGGGTTTCTGGGCATCTTCAAATTAAATGTAATACCTTTAAAAAAACAAACATTTTTAATGCCATACATGACCCGACTAACCACAGATATTACAGTGCTGTCAATCGATTAAACAAAAATAACTCGATAAATTACATTTTTTCAGTGATTTATAAAATGAATATAAATTAAATATAAAAATGTAAGAGTTTATAATTGTGATCAATGTAATAATTTCACAGTTAACATATTAAATACTTAGTATCAGTGATATAATACAGCTGTTGATTTCTGGATAAAAATTATTTCCCCCTAATTTTAAGCATTAATTATAGCCCTCCAACATTACGTGTTCATTTAAGAGTTTAACTCATTGAAGACTGCTCTTATGTTATGATACTCGACAAAACTGACATTTTGGCATAATTGTGTGTTATTGTTCATTCAAGCGCACGATACTGGCCATGCTTTTTAATGCCATTCAAGGCCTTCATTTTCACAAAATCCATTTAATGCTTTTTAATGCCCCGCGGAAACCCTGATTATATTTACACTGCATTTGAAGAGTTTGGTTCTAAAACACGATAAACGCCATTTAAAAAAAAAATTAGTTAGTGCAAAAATCAGTGTTGTATCTGGTTGGTATTGAAAAGTCAATGTTTTATTTTACGTAAAATGCGATATCCGCCGTGTTATTCTGTCATGTTTTCTCCCTTTCTTTCCAAAACGCGACAAACGCCAGTCTCCCTTCTCTGCAGAATGCGATATATCCGCTCTCAACCAATCACAACGCACCATTCCACTCTCAACCAATCACAGCGCACCATTCCACTCTCAACCAATCACAGCGCACCATTCCACTCTCAACCAATCACAACGCACCATTCCACGCAATGTAAACCGTAACGGCAGCGCCTTAAACACACCCGGCTTCCTAGTTTTTCTTATCTATTTTGTACTTTTCGATCAACAAACAAAAAAAAAAAGAATAATTTTGACGGCATTGATGAACCTGTGGTTGTTTCTGCGGTGGGTGAGAAACGTAAGGCATCGAAATCCAATCATTTACGGGAGGAGATTAAGAAGATGAGGCACTCGCGAGGAGGACAAATGTGTTCAATCTTCTTTACAGTTCTTAATAAAAATATTATACTAATAAACTTACGTTGTTGTGTATTTTCAACAGTTTCAATATGAAAAAAAAAAACTTTTATATTGATTCAATGGATTAATTGCATTTTGATTTAAAACAAAAAAGGATTTATTGCATTTTGGGGGGGGAAAAAATCAGTTTTTATAATAAATCTTTGAAAATCAAAACCTGGATTTTAATTTTTTTATTATGACAGTTATTATGACAATAATATATTATAACAAATGCTATGTGAAAGTTTGAAACAGAAAATAGTGGTTTTCATCTTTCCACTTTCTTGGTAAAGAAAACACATTTTTACTCAAATTAATCTAAATGGATTTATTGCGTTTTGGAACCAAACTCTTCATTTATAAACCATTTATTCACTTTTTTAGCATTGACCTGAACTTAAAACTGTGGTAATCTTGAATGCTTTGGGACACAGACTTCAGTTTGATCTCTTCTCAAAGACCACACTTGGCAGATTATTGCTGAAGTGACAAAAGTTTTAAAAAGTGAACTTAAAGTTACAGAATTTTACGTTTATTGTAATGAAAAACGTGTAAAAATACTATTTTCAATTTTTACTTGAAATATATATTTTCAAAAACACATTTTACTCTAAAACTGTGAGAAAATGAAAGCCATAAATGTAAGCCAGTGTGTGTTCCACATGTGAGCTGATCTGCCAGTAGACGAGCGTTCAGTGAGAGTGTGTTCGGCTGCAGTACCGAACGCTTCCACTAGAGGAAACTCCTCACTCAGTTACAATGCGGCGCTTCTGACCGCGAGGAGCGAGTGTGAATATCACTTTCAGGACCATTCAACCTGTTCAGATCATGGCCGTGAGTTATTTTTTGTGTTCACAGAGCAAGTGCCAAAACCTTTACCAAGTTTCGTACCATTCCCACAAAGAAATGTTTAAAAATAAAACCGAAAGTAAGATTTTTGGGTGTAAAATGACGAAGAGCAGCAGAGGAAGGCGTTCCTGAGTGTATCGGACACACAGTAGTCGAGCAGGACCTACCAGAGAAGTTGAGCACCTCGGACCACTGCTTGCAGACGTACACCCTGATGTCCGAGCCGCCCACCGCCAGATATGTCCCACTCTGGTCGAACACCAGAGACTTCACCTACAGGAGACACACGGGGAATCAGACGGGCTTTCCCGGAGAACAGTGCCAACACATGGCGGTGCCGTCTGGGGCTTATACCACACCTCATAATTGTTGTCCAAAGTGATGGTCTTGAAGTTCTTGAGTTTCCTCAGATCCCACAGCTTGAGTGAGCTGTCCTGAGCACCTGCAGGACCAACACAAGGACCATTATACATTTACCCAGAGATCCACAGCACAGAAACCTCTCATTAAAAGCACCAAATCTTCCCAGAACATCAGCTTAGACTAGTCTGAAGAGTTCATCTCGTTTTTTTTCTTCAAGACTGATAACTTTTTAAAGCCAATTACATAAAAAGCTAGATTGGTCTAATCTGAACTGGAGAAGTACGCCTGGTTACTCTCATCTAACTGCAAGTTGCTCAAACTATTTCTTAAGACAGTCTTAACACTAGGGCTGCAACTAACGATTATTTTGATAATCGATTAATCGGACGATTATTTTTTCGATTAATCGGATAAAAAATTCAATTAGATTTTTTGTGTCTTATGACTAAATAAAACCCGGTTACACTATTTTAAGGTGTCCTTGTTACAGTGTAATTATATATTTAAGTACAGAGTAATATTAAGTAACTACATGTACTTACTATAGGAATAGGGTAGGATTAGGTTGAGGGTTAGTTGCATGTAATTATGCATAATTTACTGTTATTACTACAGTAAGTACATGTAACATATGTAACAAGGACACCGTAATATAAAGTGTTACCAAAAACCCTAAATTAGGATATTTATGTGTAAAAGTGTACTTTACAAAGTGCAAAAGCCACACATTGAGTTTTACAAATATCAATATTTCAATTGTTTTTAATGATAATTGCTGATGGCAAGTTGACAACCATGATTAATGTAAAAAAAAAAAAAAAATTATATCCAACATATTGTTTTAGCACAATTTTTGTTAAAACAAATTTACAGACATGTTGTTCAGATGTGAAGATATAAACTAAAACCATCTCAAATATATAATTCATTTAATTTTTATTTAAAATTAATTGAATTAAGGATAATTTGTAAAAATAAATATAGAAAGACTGAAAACAAGCGTGTGAACATAGAGCCGCAGTAGATCGCGTTTGAAAAACAATTAAAACTTAATAGTAGACAAATGCTATATAAAGAGAGTGCAGTGGAGGTACGCAGAAGCTAACAGGCTTGAGTAAAAGGACAGGAACAATGATGCATTAGTGCACAAACATTCGCTGAAAACCACTGAGTACAGTGACTAAAAAACAATAATGTACTGCTGCTGTTATTAACTGCCTTTATATTTAGTGCTTCGCTTTGTAAAGACCGTTTTAATTTCATATTTCTGCGGTAGCACTATTTTAATCCATCACTTATGTTGCGAGCGAACTGATTGCGCAACCTGATGCTCGAGACGCAAAATACAGACATCCCAAGTCTCCCGGAAGTTCTGGAAGTCACCCGCATATTGATAGCGGCTCGCAAATTAGTTCAAACTCCCGGGATTTGAGCGCGCAAGCAAGAGCGCGCATGCGAGACAGAAGAGACTGTGCTCCAAACCGTGTAGCGCGAGCGCGCGGCAGAGCAACAGGGAGAGAGACCTTGCGTGTGTGTGCGTGTGTGCCTCATGAAGCGCGTGTAAGACAGAGAGCATCCTGATTGGCCCGTTTCAACCAATCACCAGTAAGCGCTCCCCGTGACGTAAGCAGACCAACTAATCGATAATGACATTCGTTGACAACGATTTTCATAATCGATTATTATCGATTTTATCGATTAGTTGTTGCAGCCCTACTTAACACCATGGCTTTATGCAACTGGTCTATGGTTGCTCACACTCACTGGATATAGTGACAATGTGTGTATAGTTCCACCAAAATGAACATTTCTGTGTGAGAAAACATTCAGGTTTTCAGAGTTTTAGTGTCAGTGCTGCATTAAGGCGAGACACGGCAGGCACAAACATGTTTTTTTTTCACAGGTCAATTTTTGAGATTTTGAGATATTTGTCTTCAATAACATGTCTTCTTTCAGACTTGTGGTGAAAAAAAGTCCGAAATAGACATTTAGGTCTTTATTTTACGGCACTGTATCTCACGGGCGTCAGTTTGGTTTGAAATGTGGTGGGGACAGAGACGCATTCGGAAGGGCATTTTCAAAAGTGCTGGGTACAAACTCTGCAGCCTGTTTAAGCCCTAAATACATACATCGATCCGCAAATTTTTGTGTGAGTTCTTAAATGGTCTAGTGGTTGATCTTTTGCCAAGCGTGTCAGAGGTTACGGGTTCTAATCCTCCCTCGGTATAGTTTTTTTTTCTCGCAAAACTGATTATGTTCATCAATGGTTACAGTCTATATCAAGCAGCCAGGGACACGGTTGTGTGCATTTTATTTGGTAATTTCACCGGAATGAATATATAGAGTCTCTCCGCAACGGCGATAGATTGAAGAGCGCGTCCGAGTGAAGACTGCGCGCGCGCCGCCACAAGAGAACACTGTATCCATGACACTGATAGCAGCGGACACGAGCGCTCAGCTTGAGTTAAAAACAAAACATTTTAGCACTAGATCTCTTATTTTAGAGCGAACTAAATGAATGCTCTGCTAGTTAACTGGAGATGTTTTGTTTGTATTAGGTACATCCGTGCCTCAATGTTTCCAAGAGTGGTGGGTACAAAATGACTCATGATGAAATCTGGTGGGGACGGGTACCCACCGTCCCCACCGAAATCGACGCCTATGCTGTATCTGTAGATTTCTCAAATTCATCAAAAGTTGTCGATCTAAATCATCCGCTGCTCCGCGATCTGCACCCTGACATCACACACACCACTAGAAAGCTCCCTCTCTCCTGTACAACGCGTCCAAATATGGTCATTTCCTTTTTATCAGCAACCAATCGTGAAAGTAAAAGGGTGCAAATGCACAATCTCATTGGCTGATGCTAAATCTTTAAAGCCAGTTTCTTTCTCAAAATGGCTTTTCTCTCAAACTCAAAGTCTGAAATCTCCACTTCAGTAGCACCGATATACACACCAAACTTTCCAGTCGTGTACCTAGTTATATTATGAAGACATTTACAGAGGGATTTGTAGATATATTATTCCTAGCCTGATTTATATAACATTTTATTCCAAAAAACATTTTTTTAAGGCTACTGACAGTATATTCTGATTTACAGGATAACAAAAGTATATATCCATAAATCCCTCTGTTTTTCCACATCTAATATGTGAACACAATGAAAAAATTATTTTGAAGCTGTCTTTATCCAATACTCAGATTGAGTTTTTTTTTAAATATATGCAAATTAGCACATATTAAATTAGATAATGCCTAATTTGCATATTTAAACATTAAATTACAGAAAACTTGTAATACATTTTTTTCTCCTCTTAATGTAGTTAAACAACTGGGAAAGTTTCATGGTGATATCGGCTAGTTAAAAAAAAATGACCCTATTCGCCTTAATCTACTATATATAATGTTGATTATATCCACTTGAGCTGAGCTGGATGAGGACACACTTTAAAACTCAATCTACACTGAACCTGAGCTGAAGAATGACACTGATTTCAACTCATTTCATAAAGGATAAGCCTTGGATGGAAGCATAGCTACTGTTACAGAGTTGTGAATTTAACTAATGCACAAAATTGGAATATTGTATTAGACATTAGTGAATAAAGCAACGTTCCATCACGTGTTCAAGAGAACCAAATCCTCACTTCCTGGGAAACTTTGACTATGACCAACATTAGAGACGCTGCGACGCCATTGGTGCACAGTTACTCCAGTTATCCAATCACAGCCTCCGCTGAGCCAAAGGGGTTTGTTTTGCGCATAGAGGGACTTATCTGGTAAATGTGTTTCTAACGTATGCGCGTCTTCTTATCAGATTTTTTTTTAATTATTATTTTTTAGAAGATTTAGAATTTATGAACGTTGCCCTCCTGCATTTATGCGCTATCCTAAAACACACATACAAATAGGCTGATGGAAACTTAAGTACTGACAGTTATTAAACTGAACAGAAACAACATTGTTTTAAATTGAGCTAAATAATGACACTAAATTAAAATTAGTTTCATAATTGACAGATTTTAGCTGCAAAGCTGCTTGGGAACGATCTGCATTATATGCCCATCTTCTTATCGGATATTTAAAAAAGTTTTTTTTTTGTTTTAAAATGTAGAATCCTGCAGTTTTTTAATGATTTAACCCAAAAATAGGCTTTATAACACATAAAACATAAAAATAGGCTGATGGACACACAACTATTGACAGTTTTAAACTGAACTGAAACATTTTTTAAATAGAGCTGAATAATGACACCAAGTTGAAAATAGATTCATAATTAAGAGATATTTCAAAGCAGCTCGACCGTAATAAACCAGCAGCACTGTCTGAAGCGCTGTGGAAACAACTGTGACCTACCGGTGGCCAGGTAGTAGCCGTTCTCAGAGAAGGCGATGGCCGTCACGGGACCCGAGTGTCCGGGGAAGTTCGCCACATTGGTCCGTTCCTTCAGATCCCAGATCTTAATCTGCGAGTCGGCTGTGCCGGTGCCGAAGATCAGGCCGTCGGGATGAAACTGAGCACAGGTCAGCGCTGGAGGAGCAGAGCGGGACACACTCCAGTTCAGTCACACGCAAGGGCCCTCAATATATGTTTCATATGCAGGTTATACATATACATCCACTCATTTCATTTTTAGTTCCAAAGCTGATGAATAATGTATTATGTCCTTCAGCTGAGACTCTTCAGATGCGCACTGAGTTTGAGTGGAATCACTTCAAAAAAGGAAAATACAGTAAAGTGCAACATGTCATATCAGCCACACACAATTATAATGAGAACACTATAATTGTGTGTTTGGGACATGGCTTTTAATGGTGAGACTTCTTTTTTTAATCAGGATCTTAATTATATACATTTTAGATTTTGATTTATCGGCCAATATATCGGTTATCGGTATCAGCCAAAATTTTCGTATCGGTGCATCACCAATTAATATTTATATTATCAACAAGACATTGAATATATAGTTAATATCTGACACACTGCCAGAGAGGAACACATACCACATCCAGCAGTCTCATCAGTGACTTTAGTCAGCACACGTCCAGTCTGCACATCAGAGAAGGCCCAATACTACAACACACACACACACACACGTGAGATGCTTTACACACACAGAAAACTGATACAAACAAACACAGATTTTGTTCTTTTCACAAGAGAAGTGAAACTGAACCAGCAAACAAATGAAAGTGGCTCTCGATTCATAGAGATCATACTGTGATATGTAACAATGTGTGTGTTGCTTGTGTGTGTGAGTGAGCCAGTTAGCGAGCGAGCCAGTGAGTGTGTTTGAGTGAGTGAGCGAGCGAGCCAGTGAGCGAGCGAGCCAGTCAGTAAGTGAGGGAGTGAGTGTGTGCTTAAGTGAGTGAGAGTGAGGGAGTGAGCGAGCGAGCGAGCGAGCCAGTCAGTAAGTGAGGGAGTGAGTGTGTGTTTGAGTGAGTGAGAGAGTGAGGGAGTGAGCGAGCGAGCGAGCCAGTCAGTAAGTGAGGGAGTGAGTGAGTGTGAGTCAGTGAGCGAGTGAGTGTGAGTCAGTGAGCGAGTGAGTGTGAGTCAGTGAGCGAGTGAGTGTGAGTCAGTGAGCGAGTGAGTGTGAGTCAGTGAGCGAGTGAGTGAGTGAGTGTGTGAGTGAGCGAGTGAGTGAGTGAGTGTGTGAGTGAGGTGTGTGTGAGTGAGTGTGTGTGTGAGCGAGTGAGTGAGTCAGTGAGAGTGAGTGAGTGAGTCAGTGAGAGTGAGTGAGTGAGTCAGTGAGCGAGCGAGTGAGTCAGTGAGCGAGCGAGTGAGTCAGTGAGCGAGCGAGTGAGTCAGTGAGCGAGCGAGCGAGTCAGTGAGCGAGCGAGTCAGTGAGCGAGCGAGTCAGTGAGCGAGCGAGTCAGTGAGCAAATGAGTCGGTCAGTGAGCGAGTCAGTGAGTCGGTCAGTGAGCGAGTCAGTGAGCGAGTCAGTGAGCGAGTCAGTGAGCGAGTCAGTGAGCGAGTCAGTGAGCGAGTCAGTGAGCGAGTCAGTGAGCGAGTCAGTGAGCGAGTCAGTGAGCGAGTCAGTGAGCGAGTCAGTGAGCGAGTCAGTGAGCGAGTCAGTGAGCGAGTGTTACCTGGTCCTCAGAGGAGCTCAGCAGATAGTCTCCAGTGGCGTGCAGAGAGAGGCCGGTGACTCCTGCCTCGTGGGCCCTGATGACCTGCACACAGTTTCCCCCAGTGACCGACCACACGCGGATCGTGCTGTCCGGAGACGCCGAGAACACCACCGACTGAGGAGAACAGGGGAAGAGCGGTGAGAGACCCGGAGAACACCCTCCTGATGGACGAGCGTGCGTGTGAGAGCGGGAGAGATCTGACACACACCTCCTGATGGACGAGTGTGTGTGTGTGTGAGGAGGAGCGAGGGCCTACCTGACCGGGGTGGTAGATGACGGACGAGACCTTTTTAGTGTGTCCTTTGAGGGTGGCGACAATCTGCTCCTCTCGCCGGTCAAACACCACCACGTTCTTATCCGCACCACCTGAAGAGAAAAACACTAATTATACGTGCCAGCGCTCACAGGAGGCATGTTCTAATCTGACCACGTGTGATCATGTCGTATTCGTGTGCAGGGTTTTCAAAATCAAAGTTAAAGGAATAGTTCACCCAAAAATGAGAATTAGCCCATGATTTACTCTACCTCAAGTCATCCTAGGTGTTAGGGCTGTGTTGAAAAAATCGATTCACCAATTCTGAATCGATTTTCATATTAATTTCTAAAGATCGATCCGTAACTCAGAGGATCGATTTAATAATAGGCTTACATTTTCCCCGTGAACTTTAACTTGCCGCGACTGGGAGATCCCTGTATGCGCATTGAAAGGCTTTCACTCAGCGCGCACACTGTTACAACAACAGGCTTTGAGTGAGTCATTCGTTCATTCAACGAACACGTTCAAAAAAGCTGATTCATTAAAAGAGATGTAATAAAACAAGGTGTTAATTATTTTTAACTTTGAGTTCCACTTTTCAAGGCTCAGCTGAGCAGCAATGCGTCGCATGGGTAACGCTGAAGCTGATGCTTCACTTATTAGAGACCAATATGGCATTGATTCAATGCGTGACTCGCTGATGTTATTTCCCCGCGGCTTCCTCGCGCTGTGGGATGCTGACCAGCGCTGCTCCTGACGCGCATTTATGGTAAATACCCGTGACGTGAACGTTAAAAGGATGATACGACAAATATTTTGCTTTCCTTTGACACGGCAACCTTTTTCACGAATACATATGACTTCAAAGACAGACGCAGGTAAACGCACACGCTCTGCCGATCTCTCTCATTCACTGTCTGTGCGAAGCCTCTGTAGGCTACACATCACCACGATAAACAGTCTTGTTTGTTATCATTATGAACTTGTTTAACATTCAATACACATGCATGAAGTTCAAAACAAGCAGTTAAATGTCTATAATAGCCTAATAGTATCAATATGTTGCATAACTACAGTCCTGTAATTCAGGTAACAGCTGTAAAAAACAAAAACACTTATCTAAATCTCGAAAATCGGATCAGATCGGATCGAATAATGATAATCGATTCAAGATCTTGAGAATCGGAATCGAATCGATTCTTGAAATTTGAATCGAAACCCAGCTCTACTAGGTGTATATTCTTCTTTCAGACGAATACAATCAGAGTAAAAAATGTCCTGGCTCTTCAAAAAGTGCATCTATCCATCATAAAAGCGCATCTATCCATGATAAAAGTGCATCTATCCATGATAAAAGTGCATCTGTCCATCATAAAAGCGCATCTATCCATCATAAAAGCGCATCTATCCATCATAAAAGCGCATCTATCCATGATAAAAGTGCATCTGTCCATCATAAAAGCGCATCTATCCATCATAAAAGTACATCTGTCCATCATAAAAGTGCATCTATCCATCATAAAAGTGCATCTGTCCATCATAAAAGTGCATCTATCCATCATAAAAGTGCATCTGTCCATCATAAAAGTGCATCTGTCCATCATAAAAGTGCATCTGTCCATCATAAATGTGCATCTGTCCATCATAAAAGTGCATCTGTCCATCATAAAAGTGCATCTGTCCATCATAAAAGTGCATCTGTCCATCATAAAAGTGCATCTGTCCATCATAAAAGTGCATCTGTCCATCATAAAAGTGCATCTGTCCATCATAAAAGTGCATCTATCCATCATAAAAGTGCATCTATCCATCATAAATGTGCATCTGTCCATCATAAAAGTGCATCTATCCATCATAAAAGTGCATCTGTCCATCATAAAAGTGCATCTGTCCATCATAAAAGTGCATCTATCCATCATAAAAGTGCATCTGTCCATCATAAAAGTGCATCTATCCATCATAAAAGTGCATCTGTCCATCATAAATGTGCATCTGTCCATCATAAAAGTGCATCTATCCATCATAAAAGTGCATCTATCCATCATAAAAGTGCATCTGTCCATCATAAAAGTGCATCTGTCCATCATAAAAGTGCATCTGTCCATCATAAAAGTGCATCTGTCCATCATAAAAGTGCATCTGTCCATCATAAAAGTGCATCTGTCCATCATAAGAGTCCATCTGTCCATCATAAAAGTGCATCTGTCCATCATAAAAGTGCATCTGTCCATCATAAAAGTGCATCTGTCCATCATAAAAGTGCATCTGTCCATCATAAAAGTGCATCTGTCCATCATAAAAGTGCATCTGTCCATCATAAAAGTGCATCTGTCCATCATAAGAGTCCATCTGTCCATCATAAAAGTGCATCTGTCCATCATAAAAGTGCATCTGTCCATCATAAAAGTGCATCTGTCCATCATAAAAGTGCATCTGTCCATCATAAAAGTGCATCTGTCCATCATAAAAGTGCATCTGTCCATCATAAAAGTGCATCTGTCCATCATAAAAGTGCATCTGTCCATCATAAAAGTGCATCTGTCCATCATAAGAGTCCATCTGTCCATCATAAAAGTGCATCTGTCCATCATAAAAGTGCATCTGTCCATCATAAAAGTGCATCTGTCCATCATAAAAGTGCATCTGTCCATCATAAAAGTGCATCTGTCCATCATAAAAGTGCATCTGTCCATCATAAAAGTGCATCTGTCCATCATAAAAGTGCATCTGTCCATCATAAAAGTGCATCTGTCCATCATAAGAGTCCATCTGTCCATCATAAAAGTGCATCTATCCATCATAAAAGTGCATCTATCCATCATAAAAGTGCATCTGTCCATCATAAAAGTGCATCTGTCCATCATAAAAGTGCATCTGTCCATCATAAAAGTGCATCTGTCCATCATAAAAGTGCATCTGTCCATCATAAGAGTCCATCTGTCCATCATAAGAGTCCATCTGTCCATCATCAGAGTGCATCTGTCCATCATAAAAGTGCATCTGTCCATCATAAAAGTGCATCTGTCCATCATAAAAGTGCATCTATCCATCATAAAAGTGCATCTATCCATCATAAAAGTGCATCTATCCATCATAAAAGTGCATCTATCCATCAAAGTGCATCTGTCCATCATAAAAGTGCATCTGTCCATCATAAAAGTGCATCTGTCCATCATAAGAGTCCATCTGTCCATCATCAGAGTGCATCTGTCCATCATAAAAGTGCATCTATCCATCATAAAAGTGCATCTATCCATCATAAAAGTGCATCTATCCATCATAAAAGTGCATCTGTCCATCATAAAAGTGCATCTATCCATCATAAAAGTGCTGCAGGGGTTAATAAAGGCCACGGCTGTACGCATCGACTTACGCCACAAGAGGAACACTTGAACTTGACGCACGCTGTAATGTCGAACGCCCAGCGCTGTGTGTGTGAACCGCGAGAGACTCGGAGCTCACGCTACTCCTACATCTACGCCACACATCCTCAAGTGTTGCTCTCGTGGCGTAAGCCGACTAGCCTAGGCCGTGTGCCGGAAGCTCGATATATTAGTCAAAGTTTTAAATATGGATATTGTTCTTACACAAACGCATCGCTTCAGGACATTTTTTTATATAACTCTGATTGTATTTGTCTGAAGGAAGAATGTCATTTACACCTAGGATGGCTTCAGGGAGAGTAAATCATGGGCTAATTTTCATTTTTGGGTGAACTATCCCTTTAAGCATAGAGCAGTTAGCAGTTAGAATCTGAAGCTCCGCCCCCCTGCTATAAAAACCACCTGGCCGAAGCGACCGTTGACTCGTCACAGAGCATCATGTGTCGGAGTGTGTGTTCGGTTGCTCAAACGCTCCAGTTTTATTCCATTTTCCAACTGTACGCTGGTTAAGAATTAAATGACTAGTCTAGACACATCTACTATTGAATCCAGCGTATCATCAGTGCTCGGATTCGCTTCAATGCTGCTGTCAGTCTGTGAGGGAAACTAAACGCCATTGGCTATTTGAAAAGGGGGAGGAGCCATTCGATATGCATTTCAGTGGAGATTACGTAATCGCATCAAACAAAGCTGCGCGTATCAAGGCACTTCAGTGGGCCTTTAAGCCACATCGCAATTCCTGTTCTTCTGTCCCCAAATGAAGATTAAGACTCGCACCATTTAAGATACTTAAGACTTTTTATGGCCTTAAATTTGACAACTGACTTTCTAAGTCTTTGCAGGGACCCTGGTGTGAATGTGGTGTGATCGTACCGGTGAGGACTTTGTTGGTGTCTGTTGGGCAGAGATCCAGAGAGAGGATTCCTGGCACACTGGCACTGTGAAGACCCTGAGAAAGGCAAAACAAAGCATAAACACACACACCGAGGGCTTCGGGCCGAGACCCTTTTCTTCTCAGAGCAACTGAAACAGTCGTACTGGAACAGCGATCACACCAGTTTACTCGCAGACTGTATTGGCGATATTGACCAAAAAAAAAGGATCTCAATATTTTTGTGGGATTTTATAGATAATAGTTAGAGGCTATTTTGCAGAGTGTTTGCAGACTCCTGAAGTCTCTGACATTCTGTGTTGGTCAGTTCAGAAACCCTCTTTTACAATCAGTTTACATTGATTTTCACCTTTATGAAGCCATTTTAATCTAATTAAATGTATGTATCATCTTATGTGTCAAATTCTTACATTTAATCAAATACTATTATAATAATAAGACACAATAGGGCTGTTACCAATCAAATTAAATCAGTTTCAACAAAATTGATGTTTGCACTGCAGGGAAACACAGAAGCTGCATCTGAGGTTTAGATGCTTTACACTGTTAGAGGGACATCAGTGTGTTTAACCTGGTTTTAAATGGGAAATATTGAGATTTTAAGTTGATTTAAAAAAAGAAAAGATACTTTAAGTGTGAAATTCAGTCACTGTTAATGAGTTTCAACCGACTCATTCAGGAACGAAGCATGTGTCTTAACGAGTGAGTCGTTGAATCATTCATTCAAACCATTTGTTCATTCGGTATTGAAACACCGCTGTGTCTTTGTCTGGAACAACTTTCATTGGTGAAATGGAGTAAAAACAGGCAATGTGTCTAAAATGCAAGTCACTTAATATGAACTTATTTGTTTTGTTTTTTTACAACAGTTCAATAATAAAGATCACATTTGTAATCATGCTGATATCTGGAGAAAAAAAACTGCACTCTTCATGTGATATTGATTAACTATAATAAATGATATAAATATAAAAGACAGGTATTTTTGCCTCTTAATCTTGAATATTGAGGTCATTATAAGTGGGGTTTAACAGAGTAAATCCCGCAGTGAAAGCGTGCGCTCTAAATGCTCAAGCGCACTAGTCTAACCTACTAGACTACATTACAGTGCACGAGAGCAACTCTAGATGTGCTTTAGTGAGGACATTCTGGATAATGACACGAGACGATATACATCTCGATCACGAGACACGGTTACTACACAGCGCTGGAAGCTTTCAAATGCAGTGCCCAATTCTCCGTTATAAACACAGATATGAGATACACACATTTGTTTTGAGAACACAACTCGTATGTTTTGGAGTGGATACGCTTCTCTTGGTTACTCACAGCATGGGACGCCACTTGACGATACTTGCTGAGATCCTCTGCTCTGACCAGCTCCTCCGGCACGGTCTTTCCTCTCTGAACACACACACACACAGAAGGTTAAGAACACGTATAAAAGCACATCAAATAACCAGTGATAGAAAAGCACTGCAACTCAAAGCGCACACCTTCTTTCTCTCGGTGGTCAGGACGGTGGCCTTGTCTTGGAGCTGCGAAGAGAGAAGATCAGCTTGACGTTCTGAACATGTGATCTCACACACACACACACTCATATCACTGATGAACAGTTGTGTAGCACGCACCTTCTGTATGATCTCCGGGGTCATGCCCACCTGTTCACTGACCTCCATGGCCTCTCCGCCGGCTCCCTACACAGGGGACACACATGAATGCTATGGGGTGGCAGTCGTGCACAATCTCATGATTCACACCCGATTCTAGACTCAGAATCAATCATCAGTTCCATCTATTGTACACTATAGAGCGGACAACGTGATTGACGTCAGGGCTGCAACTAACGATTATTTTGATAGATTTTTTGTTTATTATAACTCAATAAAACCCTAAATCAGGGTATTTATGTGTAAAAGTGTACTTTAAAAAGAGCAAAAGCCACACATTGAGTTTTACTAATATCAATATTTGCATTGTTTTTAATGAAAATTGCTGATGGCAAGTTGACAACCATGATTAATGTAAAAAAAAAAAAAATTATATCCTACATATGTTTTAACAATTTTTGCTAAAACAAATTTACACAGACATGTTGTTCAGATGTGAAGATATAAACTAAAAACATCTAAAATAAATTAATTGAATTATAAGGATAAATTGATCAAATAAATATAGAAAGACTGAAAACAAGCGTGTGAACATAGAGCCGCAGTAGATCGCGTTTGAAAAACAATTAAAACTTAATAGTAGACAAATGCTATATAAAGAGTGCAGTGGAGGTACGCAGAAGCTAACAGGCTTGAGTAAAAAGACAGGAAAATGATGCATTAGTGCACAAGCATTGGCTGAAAACCACTGAGTACAGCGACTAAAAAACACTCTTTTACTGCTGCTGTTATTAACTGCCTTTATATTTAGTGCTTCACTTTGTAAAGACCGTTTTAATTTAACATATTTCTGCGGTAGCGCTATTTTAATCCATCACTTATGTTGCGAGCGAACTGATTGCACAACCTGATCCTCGAGACAAAATGCACACATCCCAAGTCTCCCGGAAGTCCCAGAAGTCTCCCGCATATTGATAGCGGCTCCCTGAGTATCATAATATAATGCTTGATTGACTGATTTTAAGTGTGTACATTTTTATATTTAAAAAGCTGTGCCATTTTACAAAGATTAGCTGATTTGGTGGAATATATATATATATAGTAAAATAGCATTTCAGTCTGACGAGTAACCGACAAAAGTGACGAGCCAATGGCGATTCTATAGCCCCGGTGTGTGTAGAGGCTTGAAAACAGAACATTACTTTTGTAGCTTTAACAAAAATAAATAGTTTTTTAAATATATTTTATTTAAGAACAATTGTTTCAAAAGTTAATGCACTTAAATAAGTGAATTTCATTTCAATATAAGAAGCGAAGCTTGATTTGGTTTATATTTGCTTATTGCGCTCGCTTGCGGACATAGGAGACAAAACGGTACTTTTTTCCTCAAACATCAAGTATTGCTTCAAGTTTGCTAATGTTTAAGAAATTCAAATGTGGCTTTTCAGCCATTCTGACAGAATTATCACAGACTAGCAACAATGTGTGAACAGACTCGACATCACACAGTGAACGTGTGTACTCAGAGTGAGTCTAAACTCTCTCACCTCACACGGCTGGCAGATGAAGCAGCACGCGCGTGTGTGTGTGTGTGTAGAGTGTGTGTTGGTGTGCAGTACTGACCACAGCTGCCGGCTGGGAAGCAGGAGCCGCCTGAGGAGCCACCAGTCCAGCCTGAGGCTTGAGCGTGGCCAGAGCTGTAAGCAGAAGAGGAACACGTGAGTGCCGTCACCAGCCCAGAGAGGACCTCTCTCTCACACACACACACACTCTTACCCTCTCGGGCAGCGGTGACCTCTTTGGTGAGGCGTGCGATGACCCTGCAGGCGGCGTCGTGCTGGTAGAGAGCGTGGGACAGCTCCTGTCGGGTCGTCTGAAGCTGCTGTCTCAGGGTGAAGCTGTGCAGCATCACTGCGTCCTGGAACACACACACACACACACAGGGATAAGGTGAATATAATGGAATCCCGAGAAAGTGTCTGTGAAATGTCAGCTCATAATTCCCCCAGATCATTGATTACAGCCGGTCAAAGCCGCCCCTTTTTGAGTGTGAGGAGAGACACGTTGCAGGGATGTGATTGTGCAAGTGAGAAAAACAGGACATTTTATTAAGACCCCGGCGAATGCTTGATGGTTTCAAAGTTATGAGCAATCATCCATGTGATTACACTCTGTTCGATTTGAGACAAGTGTTTGTAACATCGATTTTCCGTGTCTAAAGACGTTTCCATTAACATCAAATACAGGCAAATCCACGGACACCTAACAGGCATTAGGACGAGCGTAAAGAGGCGCTTGAGACGCACAAGTCAGCAATATTCCTGATGATTTATTGGCGTGAAGTTTCAGCACAATGATAAACAGGAGCGACACATTCAGGGATTGAGATTAACACCTCGACCCGCCAGATGCGGGTACAAATGAGCTTTGGCGGGAAACGCCGTCGAATCACGAGCCGATCTGGCGTTTCTGTGTTTACTCACTTTACTGGGGAAGTTCGTGTAAGACAAATCTGTGTGGATTTAGTGCAAATACGCAACTCGTGATCCTCATGATATATTAAACACAGCGTATTGCAGAATCTGCCCATATCTGGCTTACTTGAACACACACACACACACACACGTCACTACACAACAAATAACGGCGCGCTCGTTCACTTGCACTGAAGTAATAGCGAATATTAAAAAGCATTTGGTGAACAGAAAACACATTGGTATTGTCCAGCATCCCACATGTTCTGTGTGCTGTACTGATCTGTCCACCTAACACACATTTATGGTAAAAAAATAAATAAAATAAAAAGGCCGTTAAAATCGATTCCCTATTCTCGTTTTTTGAAACTTGTGTTGGTTGGTCCGATCGATTGTGCAAGCGATTTTTGAACGTACAGTGACAGCCTTAATGTAGATGATTAATGAAATAAAATGACACAGAACGCCGTGAGCCAGCGACGGTCAGCCGTCACTCACAGCGGCTGCGTTCACACGCTAACACACAACCCGCCAGTAATCGGACTGACGGCTCGATCGCACTGAAATCTGATGCAGTGACGTGCAGAACGAGCTGTTGTTCCTGATGAATAAAGTGTTGTGTAAAGGAGTTTCCCATCATCCTATACTCCTTCACTCGGCACAACGGTTCATATGCTCATCGTCTCCAAATTATGACCAGAAATGGATTAATATTCAGACTGCGGTTTAAAACAAATAAAGAACCAATGGTTATACGCTACATTCAAATTCATCAATCAGAATGAGTTCAGTCCGATGGAAACAGAAGTTGAGGATGTAAACCTCGCCAGTGTTCAGCCGATCCTCCCAGTAATAGTAATCTACTGGGGTGACTGGGGTCAGCTAGATAGCTAGCTTAACTCAGCCCAGTCTCTAGCTGGGCTAGCCCATTACTGCCACTGCAAGAGCTAAACACACTAGGGTTGAGTATCGCTTGAACTAACGTTTCCGATTATGATTCTGCTTATCGATTGTCTAATTTCGATTCCAATAAGGAAAAAACAACCTTAGATATCATTAATGTTTATTTTAAGTCTAATTGGAAAACATGTAATTGCATCTGAATATCATGAACAACTCATCAGCTGAAGAACACTTACACTAGGAGCGTTTGCCTGTGGTTTATAAACACCATAGAAGAACAACTAGACTAACTAATATAAACTTCAAGCATTATTAAAGACAAGTAAACACTCAGTAACTAAAAAAGAACAAATAAAAAATTAGCAATCGCGACAAATAGACACAACTGAACATTGATACGATTGAAATAAACAGTGTTTTAAGATTCTCAGGTGTTCAGGTTCACAAACTGCACTTTATTAATAAAATACATCAGAAATATAGTTATAAGGTTATTCAGAGAAGAGCGAGTGAGTTTCTCTCTGTCTCGTGTTGTGATCAGTGTTATTATAGAGAGCGCAGGAATATGAGCGCGCCTCGAGTCGTCTCGAGCTGAAATGGTTTAAATCCCTCTTTCTGAGAGTGTGTTTGGGTGTGTGTGCAGCACAGCAAACACCAATGCTTTAAAGTCATTAAAATGCACACAAAGGAATTTAAATGTTATAACAAGTATCCAATTCCTGACCTCCTTTTTATTTTTTTAAGGGCACCTATTATGGAATTTTGAAAATGCCCTTTCATGTAGTGTGTGTAACATAGATCTAAGTGAACGAAAACATCCTGCAAAGTTTTAAATATGAAAGTTCACCGTATACAAAGTTATTGTCTCTCAAAAGTAAGAGTCGACTCTTGAGTCGCTGATATGAATCGATAGACAAACGTTATTTGAATAAGATACGCCCACTTATTGCGCTCGCAGACACCAGCGTAAACTTGAAAACATCATGTCGACAACAAGACGCTGTGCTCTGAAGTGCGAATCAAAAGCGACCTTTTGTCACTGCCCAGGGAAGAGCATTTGAAGACTAAGAGTTTATATTCACAACTATACCACACAAGTATAGGCCGAACCTTGTGCTGTGTTCGCGTCATTTAATGACGATTGCTTTACAAACATAAATGCGTTCAAGTGTGGATTCGCGAGCCGGCTGATACTGAAGGAAGGTTCAGTACCAAGTTTATTTGGATCAGCTTCCTCCTCCGAATCACAACCTGTAAGTATTATTAATAATTGTTGCTTTTATGCGTTTTGTAGCGTGCTCAATAAGTATTTGTGTGTGTTGTGTAAGTTACGCTCAGCTTCTAGGTCTCCAATGTCTTTTTTTTTTTTTTAAATATGTGAAATGTTTGTCGATGTTATTGGAGTTGTCAAAGAATAGACTAATACCTTGTAGTACTGCAGTGCTTTATCAATATGTTTATGCGTTGGGCTAACGCAAACAATAACTGATTGGGTCATCTGGCCAATCACCACAGATTAGCGTCACGCAAAGGAGGGGTTTGGAAAAATGAGTCGTTGAACGAATCATTTGGGAGTCGTGAGCAAATCCGGTAAAAATAAATGCATATTATAAGACAACAAAAGTGTTTTTTGTCATTGCATGCATGTAAAACTGTTGTTGGGGACTCCCAAAACAATATTAGGAACATTTTAAATGCCATAATAGGTGCCCTTTAATGACTGATCGGCATGATTCACGTGGGTGAGGATCTTAGGCTGCAATAACCGGATGAACACGGAGCTGTGGAGAAAGAGCGGCTCGGGACTCACCCACTCGTCCTGCAGGGATTTGAGGATGGCAGGGATGCTGGTGGCAGAGGGAGCCTTCGGCCGGATGGGGTGAGACACTGGAAGCACACAACACAGTGAAACCGTGGCGTACAGAGTGTGTGTGGATCATTATACTGGACCTGTGCACTCCTCTTACAGCTTTATCAACGGCTTACACACATTTTCAAAACTTTACACCCAAATCCAAGAATTGCGCACACAAAATGCCTCGCATCTCTTGCAAAATGAAGCACTGCGTTCAAAACATCACATCTCAAAGGTCTTACGTTGAATAATAGTATATTTTGGGATATATCATAATACACAGTTATTCAAAACTTAAAGCTCTTCTTTCATGAGCTCCTGTGTACATTTCTGTACAAGATTATAAGTAACTGGGAGAGAGATGTTGAAAAATATCACGGTGAACACGCAAGATTGAAACCAAACTACAGGAGTCAACATTTGAAGTGGATAAAGAAGCTCACCAGAGTTGTCCTAAGACAAGAACCGGTAGTGTTCAACATTCATGTAAAACTTTGATGAAAGGTTTTGATCCACTTTAAATGTTGCCGACTGTATGTTTTTACTGTAAGCATTAGTGGTTGTGAATACAGTATCACACAGTATCACTCGACCTTCGGCCTGTTTATAGGCCTATTCTAAAGCCATGTTTGGCTGGTGTTCAGTAAAGCAATGTGTGTTTGCACATCATGTGAGGAGTGTGTGTGTGTGGCTCTGATGATTTACTGTGGTGTTTTGATAGGTTGTGTTTGAAAAAGAAATCAAGATTCTTCCTGCTAGACTTGTGTGTTACATAGAGGATTGCGTGTTGTGGTTTGCAATAAGTCGAAGGCGAGAGGTTTGCAGATTTGAGAGTCAGGTTTCAGGTGTGTGTGAGCCGTGGATAAAGCTGTGAAGTGTGTTCCTCATGGAGCGCCTGTACCCTTGATGTCGATGAGCTGCTCTTCGGACAGAGGCTGGCCGTTGATGGGGTCGGCTCCGTTCTCAGCGATGTACTTCTCGATCAGACGCCTCTCGAACACTTGGTTGGAGACAGGAGACACACAGGGGTGCTCCGGCACCTCGTTGGAAACTGGAACGAGAACAACATTTACATTTATAATCATGTAACACCATTTTACAGTGTCCTTGTTAGTGATACACTGTGGTAATAACAACAATACATAGTGCATCATTATATGGAACTAACCCTATTCCTGAAAGTACATAATATTAGTCAGTACTTACATGTATAATTACTAAGTGCGTAAAGACACCTTAAAATAAAGTAAATGTAACGTTTGGATCAATATGTTTCATTCAAAGCAACAAACAAACATGAGGTTTGTACAAAATACCTCATATTAGTTCCACCACTATTAATTAAATAAACATCATACGTTATTGTCCGATGTTTCAAATCAACAATTAGGCTAGACTTCAAAAATCTTGACGTTTATGTTTATTTTCCCTGTTTTTATCGGTGTTTTGCTTGCCGAAACCAAGTTAGCTCAGGCTTCAGACACACACAGAGAACTTCCAGTGTTATATTTAACATATATGCGCGTCTAGTCTAATGAAATACAGCAAAGCAGCGGAAGAAAGCATCGTTATTAAAGCGGAGTTTCTCAAACACAAAGTTTCTGCTAATATGTGCACAATGGCTAACACTGCTAATCACTCATGCTAACAGAAACAAACTCACTTACTCGCACAAACCAAAGACATCTCGCTCGAATAGACGCGATTCCGCTTTTCAGATAAAGCTGGAGTTATATAAGTTCATCCACCGGCTTAAAATCCACACAGAGTTAATGATTTTTATCTCAATCAAGGCGCTGCATGCCCTGAGACAGAACGGTCAGAACACGTTGAGACGCCGTGCCGCTCAAACACCGGTGCATGACGGGATACTGGAGAGCGGAAGTTGAAACCAACGGGCTTCCGCCAGAAGGCGCACCGCATCCTCAGCCAAAACATTTATGCGCAAGAGTATAATCTTTTAAATATATTAATATGTACAATTGGCAATGATCGTGTAAATAGAAAGTCTTCTCATAATCACAAACGACTTGATTGGCTTGTGGTGAGAAAGCGCTGAGGAATGTCAAAGGCACCACGTGACACAATGCCGTCTATTGGCTGGGTATATTCTATTCTAAAACAACAGGTACGTTTCTATACTGGAGCATAAACTCACTTACAAGTATTAAGCTGCACCTGTATTTTTTAACAGGTTGTGTTTCAATATATTTGGAGACGCAGTAAATTGTAAATTTCACCCTGTGCTATCTATCCACCTGTGAGTGAACCGAACTGTCCGAGTGATTCAGACCGAGTCGCGAACCAAATCAGATTTATTCAGGAACTATATTTCTGTATCACGCAGAGCCGGACAGTAACGGAGTACATTTACTTGAGTACAGTACTTAAGTACAATTTTGAGGGATCTGTACTTTACTCGAGTATCATTTTTGGGGAGTACTCATGACTTTACTCAAGTACATTTGAGAGGCAAATATTGTACTCTTTACTCCAATACATTTCTATCCATAACCGTGAGTACCCGAGTAAAAAAAAAAAAAAAAGTAAAGAAAAATCTCGGAAACCCTCAATTTGTTGTTTCCCTCTCAAACGTGATTGGATTGTGCAGGCGCCACTGATTGGGACAGCCTATCAGCAATCACTTTCAGCTTTCCGCCAAAGTCAACTCCATGGTCAGATTTTATATTACACATTAATGTAAGCCAAGCATTGAGTATGTGGTGTGTTTAACACAGTCAGGTTCAAATGTGGCAGTGGCGTAGCCACGAGGGATTTCTGATTTCTTAAAAAAAAAACTTTAGGAGGCAAAATATATTTTTACCGATTATGTGAATTACACTGCGCAAACCAAAGTAGGCTACTACCCAGCGAATGAAGAAGGGTTGGCGCTCAGTCTCCACAGTACATAAAATATTAATTTTGTTTTATTTTATTTTTCGGGTTTGCATTTATGAGGAAAAAACAATGTTATGGATGTGTTCTCCGTTACGGACGTGAGCGCTCTGAAAGCGGCATAAAAAATGCTTTAAAACTTTCACAGAGACATCAAACAGAAAACACAAAACCTTTCTTTAACCTGAATTTCGTTTTGCATTAATTGTATCTTAATTTGAATCAATGTTTCATCAACCAATTGCCTGGGTTTAATAAATAAGAATAGCAGACGATAGATAAGAAACGGAGGCGCCGGCCTGTGAACTGGATCTCGTCTCATAAATGAACCGAAACTCAGTGTATAAGGTAGCCTACTTGCCTCTCACAGACATGTCTACTTTTAAACAGAAAAATTCAAAACGAAAGAAAACAGACTACAGACTGCTCTCTGCTTATGTAATCCGTATGAAATGTGCATTTCTCTCTGGCGCGTTCACTACTGAAGATCGCGAGTCAGCATCGTCAACTTCATCTAGCCGACACTGACAAAGAAAACACTTGTTTATTAACAAGTGTTTATTAATAAACAATTAAAATATCTCCTTGCTATATTTTACATATTCATAATCATTCCTTTTGCCGGTTCTTTGTGACAGCTTTTAGGTGCTTTATTGGCAGCGCCACCCTTACATGTGGTGTGTGTGTGTGTGTGTGTGTGTTGTCCCCGCATTTAAAGATGGGACCCCCCAAAAATTAAATTAAATAAAGCAACATGGTAAAAAGATGAAAATGACTTGATTTTACTTTCAATTCCTTTTACATTCTCCAAGGTATTAACATTAACATTTTTCATAACTCCATGTAGGATGTTTCTGTGCATAAATGTAAGCACTGTGGCAGTAGATTAGTAATGCAATATTTAGAAAATCTACTCTTGTACTCTTGATACTCAAGTACTTTTAAAAACAAGTACTTTAGTACTTTTACTTAAGTAGACATCTGACTGTAGTACTTTTACTTGTACTTGAGTAAAATTTAGCAAGGGGTATCTGTACTTTTACTCAAGTAACAAAGCTCTGTACTCTATCCGCCTCTGGTATCACGTCAGTATTTATGACGGTTATTCTTTATTTTCTGATCTCATTTAGGTTTTAACAGTATCATAAAAGCTATGTACATGTTTAGGATTTCATTTTATTCAGTACAACCCAATTGTTAGCATTAATATACAGAACAGAATCTGTCAAAGAATAAACCGGTGACCAGATTAATTAAAAAACGGGGACAATACATTTTTTTGTAAGTTTTTGTTTTTTAATTGTGGGTTCCATATACTTTTGTTATAATAATTATGTTTAAACTGACTTTTATGTCTAAAATGGTTAAACTGACCTTAACTGGTTTTAATCAAATTAATTTAAAAAAAAAGTCACACTAGAAAAAATAGTAACCATCACCAACACATTAAAACTATTATAACAAAATCACGAATACGAAAATCAAACAAAATAAATATAACAAGATAAAAAAATATGTAATAGCATTTCACTCACATTTTCACAACCGAATACAGTATACAGTAATCATAATATCAGGTTTATGCTTCTGTAAATGGACTTATTATCCATAGTTAATTATCATTCGGAGCAGAGTATGTGCTTTCTGCAAATGTAATTGGTGAAATTGTAATTGTTTAGTTGATTTTTTAAAATACATATCGGTGTGTTGAGACAGCAACATAAATGATAACAAAAAATCATAATAAAATGACGAAGTAAAAAGAAAAAACTATTTATTGATACAGACAAAAAGAGACACAGTTTGTCATTCTGGAGTCCATCTATTAACCCTAAAGCCGCTGAATTCTTCAGTCCCGGTTTAACGGCTGTTTCAGATCGAAGATGCCGGTTCCTCCTTTCACAACCTTCCCTGCAACCAAGCAAGCCGAGGGCGATCGCAGTTTATCACAGGAGCCTGCAACACAACACAACACAACACAACACAACACACAATAATTATTAGGAGTATGAAATCCAGAACCAGCAGATTGAAGAACACCACACTGTAATGAACCCGTAACACACTAATGAACCCGTAACACACTGTAATGAACCCGTAACACACTGTAATGAACCCGTAACACACTAATGAACCCGTAACACACTGTAATGAACCCGTAACACACTAATGAACCCGTAACACACTAATGAACCCGTAACACACTAATGAACCCGTAACACACTAATGAACCCGTAACACACTGTAATGAACCCGTAACACACTAATGAACCCGTAACACACTGTAATGAACCCGTAACACACTAATGAACCCGTAACACACTGTAATGAACCCGTAACACACTAATGAACCCGTAACACACTAATGAACCCGTAACACACTAATGAACCCGTAACACACTAATGAACCCGTAACACACTAATGAACCCGTAACACACTAATGAACCCGTAACACACTGTAATGAACCCGTAACACACTAATGAACCCGTAACACACTGTAATGAACCCGTAACACACGAGGGCATCGCCACCCCCCCCACAGGTGATCAGCAGACTGTGATGTGTGTGTGATGGTGAGGGCATCGCTACCCCCCCACAGGTGATCAGCAGACTGTGATGTGTGTGTGATGGTGAGGGCATCGCCACCCCCCCACAGGTGATCAGCAGACTGTGATGTGTGTGTGATGGTGAATGCATCGCCACCCCCCCCCCCCACAGGTGATCAGCAGACTGTGATGCGTGTGTGATGGTGAGGGCATCGCCACCCCCCCACAGGTGATCAGCAGACTGTGATGTGTGTGTGATGGTGAATGCATCGCTACCCCCCCACAGGTGATCAGCAGACTGTGATGTGTGTGTGATGGTGAATGCATCGCTACCCCCCCACAGGTGATCAGCAGACTGTGATGTGTGTGTGATGGTGAATGCATCGCCACCCCCCCCCACAGGTGATCAGCAGACTGTGATGTGTGTGTGATGGTGAATGCATCGCCACCCCCCCCCCACAGGTGATTAGCAGACTGTGATGTGTGTGTGATGGTGAGGGCATCGCCACCCCCCCACAGGTGATCAGCAGACTGTGATGTGTGTTTGATGGTGAGGGCATCGCCACCCCCCCACAGGTGATCAGCAGACTGTGATGCGTGTGTGATGGTGAATGCATCGCCACCCCCCCCCACAGGTGATCAGCAGACTGTGATGTGTGTGTGATGGTGAATGCATCGCCACCCCCCCCCCCACAGGTGATTAGCAGACTGTGATGTGTGTGTGATGGTGAGGGCATCGCTACCCCCCCACAGGTGATCAGCAGACTGTGATGTGTGTGTGATGGTGAGGGCATCGCCACCCCCCCACAGGTGATCAGCAGACTGTGATGTGTGTGTGATGGTGAATGCATCGCCACCCCCCCCCACAGGTGATCAGCAGACTGTGATGTGTGTGTGATGGTGAGGGCATCGCCACCCCCCCCACAGGTGATCAGCAGACTGTGATGTGTGTGTGATGGTGAGGGCATCGCCACCCCCCCACAGGTGATCAGCAGACTGTGATGCGTGTGTGATGGTGAATGCATCGCCACCCCCCCCCACAGGTGATCAGCAGACTGTGATGTGTGTGTGATGGTGAGGGCATCGCCACCCCCCCCCACAGGTGATCAGCAGACTGTGATGTGTGTGTGATGGTGAGGGCATCGCTACCCCCCCACAGGTGATCAGCAGACTGTGATGTGTGTGTGATGGTGAGGGCATCGCCACCCCCCCCACAGGTGATCAGCAGACTGTGATGTGTGTGTGATGGTGAATGCATCGCCACCCCCCCCCCACAGGTGATCAGCAGACTGTGATGTGTGTGTGATGGTGAGGGCATCGCCACCCCCCCCACAGGTGATCAGCAGACTGTGATGTGTGTGTGATGGTGAGGGCATCGCCACCCCCCCACAGGTGATCAGCAGACTGTGATGTGTGTGTGATGGT